GTCCATTAATAACACTCTATTAACCATGTAGGATATCATAGCTACCACAAGCAATCACCTAGCAACCTCTTAGCAACCACCTGCAATACCATAGCAATTGCCTAGCAACAACCTAGCAACCACCTGCGATACCATAGCAACCACAAAGCTACACCCTAGCAACCGTCTAGGATACAATATCAACACCCTAACAGCACCTAAGCAACAACTTAGCAACATCTTAGCAAGCTTAAGCTGTGCAATCACTAGATTTTTTTCAGGAAATGCACTTTTCCAGGTTCATTTACTATGCAAAACAATCAGTGATACTACTTTGTAATGTAGACAATAAAATAGTGTTAAATTTGAAGAAATAAGTTTTCTTTGGGGACTATTTTGCCTCACAACACCCTGTATGTATTTAAATAATAGACTGATTGTGTATTTTACATCAAACAACTCTGAATTACTTTACATCTTAATCATTTAATAATAGTGAAATAAAAAAAAGGTGAAATCCCTTTTTTAAAGAATGTAATTCGCAGTTGTGTTTCTTTTAATTGAAACAAAGGCTGTTGATTATAGGGAACATAACCTGTCCTGCTGGTTAGGGATTTTCTGAGAATCTTTCATCTCCAGTTCTAGTTGGTATTCTGAATCAGACTCACACTGACACCAAACAGCTCCTCAAGCATTCAAAGATCAGAAAAAATCTCAAATTGAATCATTTGCTTGGGTCAAATCCTTTAATCCCCTGCTGGTGTCCGTAGGTCAATAGGCCTTAATGTATAGATATTTCACTGTTTGTGTCGGTTTTCGATTATGATGTGAGGCTCAATGCATTATTTGCTGTGATAGTTGCACTTTTATGATAAAAGCAGTTCTGCTGTCTCGCTGTGGCAAATTGCCTCATTATACACTTAAAGAGGGGTCAACAATGGTCAGTTCATATCAGGAAATGAAGAGAAATCCCTAATTTACTTTCTGATATTTTCTGGTTCGGTGTTCGATTAAAATTGACTCGTTTGCATAAAAAATGACTGCCCAAGCTCTGCCCTTCCAGGTGCCCACAGACAAAAAGCAAACAAATAGAGTATTCAAAGTGAAAACTTGGTGAAAGAAATGAGTGATTTTGGAAACATAATGCAGACGATTTGTGTGGCATTTGCAAAGCACTTTTTTGTAATTATGGACAGAAACTGCAGAAAGAACTTTTATATATAGGCAATGTTTCATAAAACTGCAGAGGGACACTGCTCAGAAAAAAAGGCTAACTTGAAAACCAAAAAGAAGCTAGAATTTCAAATAACATAAAAACTGAAGCATGTTTATGTGCTTACTGTGATTTTATGGGCTAATTCACAAATACAATGTGTAAAAATATTTTTGATGACATTTTATTGGCTAAAGTGGTTCTGAATTTTGGAATATATAACACGATATTGTTCTGTCCAAAAAAAGACAACAAAATTGTGGTAAAAAGTACAAAATTCAAGAGTAGGTAAAGGTGAAAGTGTGACAGTAGGTCTTAAAGGGTCTTAAAGGGTTAAATCACATAAATGGTCAAGTAATTAAAATTATTATAACTGCTCATTTTTAATTGTATTGATTTTAGCTTTAAAACCCAATGACCAAAGAAAAGTGACCAAAACGAGGGTCTGAGAGAGCAGAAAGAAGCGAAAAAAAGAGGTAGCATGACGGTAGGTCTGACACTGCTAACAAGGGAGATTAAACATTGTTAAATGACTGAGATAACAGTGGATCTTCAATTATTAATTCTAATAACTAAAAATGTTGCTAGTTTAGCAGTTCTTATTCGTTATATATAGGTTAGGCAACTTCTTAGGAGTTTGTGTTTGCTAGGCTGGTAGAGTCCACTACCGAGGACTTGCCTCCCATCATGTAAGAGCATACCTCTGCCACTGCCCGTAATGTATTCCCATCACCCAGATTACAACAGCCAGAGATTTCCCACAAAACCTTGAGCTGACGTTGAAAGTGGAGGGGGTAAAAACTGACCACTAAAGTGGAGGAGTCCCTCCTGTCTTTTCAGTCTCCAGTGGAAACTGCTTTGGCCATGTCTTCCCATAAATTACAGGTCAGTTTAGAAGTGATGCCATTAATTAAGAGAGTCTATAATTCAGCTGTGTTGGTGGGAAACTAGGCCGCTATGTATGAACACATATATACACAGTTTCTAAAAATGGAGGGTGTGTTGCACAAGCCAGCTGAAACTCTGCCCCCTTCATAGTTGCTTGGGGCATTTTCCATTAATATATAATTCCAGCTGACAGTTTCCTCTGTGGAAAAGGACTGTGGTACTTTTACAGTCTTTAAATGTACACTCTGCCTCCTTAAGCAATCATTCTGTCTCCTGAATGGATGGCATTGCTCGGACATTGAGCCCTTCTCCAGGAAATGAACATGAGCAGAATTTCAGAATATCAATGTGAGATTAAAAGGATCAGTTGCTCAGAGAAATGAGCACTGTGGTCAGGAAATGACAAGAATCTTCTTGATTCCTGTTTCTTCCACTTTATGGACACATTAAGTGGCAGTTATTCACAGAAGCACCATTATGGGGACAGTGTTGTCCAGTGCTGTTTATGAATGTTGGCTGCACAGAATTTTTTACACACTTGTGTCTTTTTTTATACATTTCATTTCCAGGGCTGATTAATGTGCTTTTATAATTAGATGACTTTGCAAGGAGTGAACTAATTTTGTGTTTCTCTGTTTCTAACATGAGCCTTGAACTTGAGCCTCTTAAGATCCTGGGAACCCGCAGCTCGGTCCAAGTTTCTATCTAATACTTAACTATCTTAACTATTCAACTTGAATATTATATGTATTATATACACCAATCAGGCATAACTTTATGACCACCTCCTTGTTTCTACGCTCATTGTCCATTTTATCAGCTCCACTTACTATATAGGTGCACTTTGTAGTTCTACAGTTACAGACTGTAGTCCATCTGTTTCTCTGCATACTTTGTTAGCCCCCTTTTACCCTGTTCTTCAGTGGTCAGGACCCCCATGGACCCTCACAGAGCAGGTACTATTTGGGTGGTGGATCATTCTCAGCACTGCAGTGACACTGATGTGGTAGTGGTGTGGTTTAAAACACCTCAGTGTCACTGCTGGACTGAGAATAGTCCACCAACCAAAAATATCCAACCAACAGCGTCCTGTGACCACTGATGAAGGACTAGAGGATGACCAACACAAACTGTGCAGCAGCAGCAGATGAGCTACCGTCTCTGACTTTACATCTGCAAGGTGGACCGACAAGGTAGGAGTGTGTAATAGAGTGGACAGTGAGTGTTCAAAAACCTCCAGCAGCACTGCTGTGTCTGATCCACTCATACCAGCACAACACACACTGACACACCACCACCATGTCAGTGTTACTGCAGTACTGAGAATGATCCACCACCCAAATTGTACCTGTTCTGCTTTGCCACAAGTCAGTTTGTGGAATTTCTGCTCTGCTAGATCTGCCCCTGTCAACTGTAAGTGCTACTATTGCGAAATGGGAGCAACAACAGCTCAGCCTAAAGCAGTAGACCACGCACACGTACAGTGTGAGGCTACCGAGGGGATAAAAAATCACCTATCCTCTGTTCCATCACTTATCACAGAGTTCCAAACTGCCTCTGGAAGCAAAACCAGCACAAGAACTGTGCATGGGGAGATTTATAAAATGGGTTTCAATGGCCAAGCAGCTGCACACAAGCCTAAGATCGCTATGCGCAATGCCAAGCGTCGGCTGGAGTGGTGTAAGCACCACTGAACTGTGGAGCAGTGAAAATGTGTTCTCTGTTGTGATGAATTATGCATTACTATCTGGCATGTGGATGAATCTGGGTTTGGCAGATTCCAGGAGAATGCATAGTTGTGTTTGGTGGAGGAGGGATAATGGCCTGGGCTGTTGTATAGGCTCTCATAGCCCTTTAGTTCCAGTAAAAAATAGCATACAAAGGCATTTTAGAAAATTACATACTTCCAGCTTTGAGACAACAGTTTGGTGAAGGCTCACTTCCTGTTCATGACTGTGTCCCTGTGCACAAAGCAAGGTCCATAAAGATATGGTTTGATGGGTTTTGTGTGGAGACACTCTAGTGGCCTGCACAGAGCCCTCTGAACACGTTTGAGATGATGGATTAGGCCTTCTAATCCAACATCCTTGGCTGAGCCTACAAATGCTCTTTTGACTGAATGGGGACAAATTCCCACAGACACACTCCAAAATCTTGTCGAAAGCCCTTTCAAATGAATGAAGGATGTTATAACTGCAGAGATGGGCCAACTCCATGTTTTTGGAATGGGATGTTCAGGAAGCTCATACATGTGTGATGGTCAGGTGTCCACATACTTTTGGCCTTACGGTGTATGTAGGAGTGCACCTGAGAATCTGCAGTTTTATCATAGCCATACATACATACATACATACATACATCATCTAAACCGCTTATCCTTCTGGGTCGCGGTGGGGTGCTGGAGCCTATCCCAGCTGTCATTGGGCAGAAGGCAGGAAACACCCTGGACAGGTCGCCAGTCCATCGCAGGGCAGACAGACATACATATACATTCATACAGACATTCACACCTAGGGGCAATTCAGCATTTGCAATCAGCTTGACTGCATGTCTTTGGACTGTGGGAGGAAACCCACGCAGACACGGGGAGAACATGCAAACTGCACACAGAAAGGACCCTGGTCGCCCGGCCGGGAATCGAACCCAGGCCCTTTTTGCTGTGAGGCGACAGTGCTACCCACCGTGCACCACCGTGCCGCCCTTATCATAGCCAGATTTAGTTAAATAAATACAAATGTAGGCTTTGAGCACAAATAATAAGCACAGCATTTTCTTTCTTTCTTTGATTTCTACAAGGAAACAATAGAGACAAATATTAAATGCAGAGGAAAGCCTCGACGTTAATGGTTCATTTTCAATCCACTGATTTTCTTTCTGATTTTTAAAGAAGGCTAACAGTTTTCTTTTTTCTCTCCAACAGGTATCGTATCACTGATCTCGCTGGTGGTGCTGTCGTATGAGCGGTACAGCACTTTAACTGTTTACAACAAGCAGGTCCCTGACTACAGAAAGCCCCTGCTGGCTGTTGGGGGCTCCTGGCTTTATTCCTTGTTGTGGACATTGCCCCCTCTGCTGGGCTGGAGTAGTTATGGACTAGAAGGAGCAGGAACGAGTTGTTCAGTCACGTGGACGTCCAAAACCCCGCAGTCGCAATCCTACATCATCTGCCTCTTTATTTTCTGCCTGGGCATTCCCGTGCTGGTCATGGTCTACTGCTATAGCCGGCTGCTCTACGCTGTTAAACAGGTGAACCACTCACACCTTACAGTTATGATGACTCTCACCATAAACATTGCATGCAGATAGCTGTAAATGCCTCTAAATGCAGGTCTAGTTATGTAAACTCATTAATAGACTTTATTTATATAGCACCTTTCACACATTAAAACGCAGCTTTTAAATGTGCTTTACAATAACAAAGGCAAATTAAAGCCAGCTTATAAAAAAGAAACAGACAAGAGAAAAAATAAACAATACTGAGAAAAGAAATGAAAATAAAAAAGAATAAATACTTCTAAAAATAATAAAAGAAAAATAAAATAAATAAGTATAAAAGCATAATAATGAAATAGGACAGCAGGGCAATGTAGTACATAAACACTTAAAACCCTAAAATAACATGAATGGGTCATTCTACAGAAACGTCCATTTTTGTGTCCCTAATGTTTACAGATATATCACACTTGAAAAACATGTTAGGGTTACAATTTATTTATATTTCAAAATAAAACAATAAATTACTTTAATATTTACACCTTCTTGAGCCATCATTTCAGCAATATTGGCTTTTAATCAATTATATAGAATTTCACCACAGAGGAGCTCGTCCTCATGTGTAAAAGGTCAGGCCATATTTTGAAGAAAAAAACATGTCTTACATGACTATAAAATATATAAATTAAATGGCAAAGAAAACAAATGGCAAATAAATATTATAAAATATATAATGAAAGTTGTCCCCAGGAGTCGTGTCACTGGTGTTACTACATAACAAAAAGTCTCTTATTTTGAAACAAAAGTCACACTGATGACATCACTTGACTTCCTTTTACCTGTTTTCTGAGGATCTATGAAGAAAAGCTCATGGTGAGTCCACTGTGTCTTTCAGTTATCAGAGATTTTCTCATTTAGCTCATGATTTCATATGAAGCTTTTAGCTGAAGTCACTGGTGTGACCGACTTTATTCTGAGGTAACAGTGAAAAAATAGAAACACAAATGGATTAAATTCCATATTTTAGTGGATATTCCATGATTGACAATTGTGGTTAGATGTTCTGTAGCAGCCGTTTCATAAAATGCATTTTTCATTAAAAATGTCTCTGGTGTTCCTTTATTATGTGCAACACCAATGAGGATCAGTAACACCAGTGACTCCTATGGAGAGACAGAAAAGTGGACGTTTCTGTAGAATGACCCAACTATATGATTATACTTTGCTTATAAAAAGTTGATTGATACTGTAAATAAACCTAGAGAAAAGCTAAACAGCTGCTTTTTAAAAATTGCTAAGGGTAGATTACAAATACCTGTTCTGAATAAAAATACAGGCGTACTGGAGCAGACAGGCAGACGGGAACTCAAACCAGAAGTATTTTTGCTGTCTAAAACATTTATTCAATCAGAGCAATAATCAGAGAAGACTGAAGTCTTAACTATGTCCTTACGTATTCATTAGACTTCAACAGATGAAAATGGCAGTTCAAGACAATTATCTGTGACTTTGTGCCTTTATTACACCATCTTCTTTTAATTAAAATCTAATGTGATTACATCACATAGTGACTGCGATACTAAAAGAAGAGAAAATTAAAAGGCAGAATGAATCACTTTTGGTTTCTGGGTTAAGAATCTGTTAGGGTGCGTCACGGGATCCCAGGTCCTGGAAAGATGGCCTAATAAAACTTGTTCCAAGGGCATCACATTCCCTGGAATGCAGTTTTTATTCTTCTTATTTGCTATGCCTCTGAAGTCCCATCCCTGCACAGGCCTGGAATGTCCAAACTGGGTCAACCTTAAAAATAAAACGCCCAAAGTTGGACAGCCTCAAAAATTCCTGATAAACCAGTAACTGAACATACATAGGCCTACACACACGGTGTGTTCAGTGTGGTGGGATTTCCCTGATAGCAAGAGCTAGACCACGCACTGTTGGCCCACTGATGGCAAAGCTGGTGGTCCACTCGTATTTTGCTCAGCGTTTCCTGGGCGACCCACTGGTGGTTCAGTATAGCATTAGATAAAATTCCACCTGTTGTTGCTTATTTTCCACTCACAGTCCAATTTACTTATTTTTCCTTCCTTTTATTAGTTATACTTTGTAAATTAGTTTAGTAAATAATTTTAATCTAGTACAATGTCAGCAACAACGTTTTCTATAAAATCATTTTTTATTAGACCTATTTTTTTTTCAGTTGTTTGTAATATTTGTCTTGGTTTAGTTTGCAAAATAAAAGGCTTTGTACATTTGAAATCTGTTTGGGGAGATTAAAAACTAGTTAGAGCTTGTATGCAGGACAATAATCTGGGTGGTCTGAGGGTGGACCAATAGTCAGTGGGGCGCTGACCTTATCAAGCTAGTGGACTAGTGGCTACGTCCTAAATAACTTTCCAAGGTTCACTAAATGGCAGATGCGGTCTGCCAAAATGCTCATAAAAAAGTGCTCATAATCTTGACTACACCTTGTGTAAGCAATAACCTCATCAATCACAGTTCTAACAAAACTATACGATGGCGTTTTAGGGCCACTGTTAATAAAAATAAAAATAGTAGACTTTGAGAATAAAGTTGTAATATTTCGAGAATAAAGTTCTAATATTTTGAGAAAAAAAGCTGTAGAATTGCAACATTAAAGTGGCATTAATACCAGAAAAGTTTGCAATATTGTGGCCAAAGGCTTTGCAAAGTGAAGCAGCCCCTCCTCGTGTTAAATGAGGGGCGGTGAGTTGGTGGAGTTCTACTTTCATATCGATTCACCCATAAAGAAACACTCAGTCTCCCTGTCTCTCCTGCACATCAGCACCAGCCTGTTATTAGGATAAGAACCGGCTGAAACGGCTGAGCAGGAAACTGTGTTTATCTAGAATAAAGAGCCAGACGGACTCAGAGGAAACTGTCTGTCAGTGTTGTTGAAGGAGAACCTCAGGCAGGGTCGTCTACACGGCTATCGGGGCTCCATCTCCCCCCATTCAAAGAGGGCATGAAGTTTCACAGACAGTGAGAATGATGATCAAAATGATCCACAGAGAGACAGGAGTGAGTGGAGCTCCGGCGCCAGTACAGCAACCGAGACCCCAACGCGTTATAGCAGCCCCTTACAGTTAGCCCACTTTATTCTCCAAATATTACGACTTTTTTCTCGAAATATTGAAACTTTTTTCTCAAAGTCTACTATTTTTATTTTTATTAACAGTAGGCCCTAAAATGCCATCATAAAACTGTACTTTCCTCGCAGTGTCTCTGTGTTTGAGTTGGAGATGTTTATCAAGCGAATGACTGCGCAAACACTAACAACCAAGCAAAAGCTAACCAAGCAGGCATAACTGAGCTACCCAGCTGGCATTTTGAAAGAAAGCTGTTTAAATGTATCAAAATTCTTTACATAAATCAATTAGGTTTCAGTAAAGAGTTTATGAGTGTACAAACGGATATACAGCATTATGGAATTTATTTATTTATGCTCCAGTTTGCAAAGAATATTGTTGTACGGTCAGACAAATGAGAAATCTCTTTAATGCAGACACATATAAATCTATAATGGGCTTCCGCTTGGTAGGTGAACTGCACTGCTTGAAAGGAACCTCAGTGTGGGGTCCCTTTAATATTTCCTGAATGACAGCGCTTCTCTGTTTCTGTGGTCTGAGCAGAAGACTTTTATTATCTGAATGCCATGTGCCATTCACACATCCTGCAGGAAGGGTAAAGATTCCAGCTGTGCAATGACAAAAACTGATTGATATTTAGCAGCGGTGGCCAAGCATGGCACTGCGTCTATTATCGCATGTTAATGATGGTTTCTATTTTTATTAGTATGATGTGTACATGCAAAGCCTTGCAGATGCTTTTCACTAAAAGGCATTTCAGAACAGATGTTTTCTTTTTCTACATGCACAGCAGTTAAGGACCAGTAAGGACTTCATTTGTTCACATAAAGTGCACAGGAAATGTGGAATTGTGAGCCATTAAAGAGGAATTCTGCTGATTTTTTTAAAAAGTTATGCGTAATTCAATTTAATTTAAATATATTTTTCCAAAGTTTTTTGATATGAAAATGTAAAAAAAAATTTACTATTCAGTTTTTTTTTTTCAATGGTGGTGATAGGAACCAGGCTTCATAATGTCTACAATGCAAATATAGACATTTTATTTACTATTCGAAACCACCAGTGAACCTAAAGGTCTTCTGAATTGATATGTAATATTGATTACGGTGAAAAAACTTGTAAATCTAAAGGGAAAACAACATTTTTTGGGTACTTTTTTGTTTGACAGCATCCTGCATGTACACTATATTGCCAAAAGTATTCACTTGTCTGCCTTCACAAGCACATGAACTTGAGTGACATCCCATTCTTAATCCATAGGGTTTAATATGCTGTCGGCCCACCCTTTGCAGCTATAACAGCTTCAACTCTTCTGGGAAGGCTTTCCACAAGGGTTAGGAGTGTTTATGGGAATTTCTGACCATTCTTCCAGAAGTGCATTTGTGAGGTCAGACACTGATGTTGAACGAGAAGGCCTGACTCGCAGTCTCCGCTCTAATTCATCCCAAAGGTGTTCTATCGGGTTGAGGTCAGGACTCTGTGTAGGCCAGTCAAGTTCTTCCACACCAAACTCGCTCATCCATGTCTTTATGAACCTTGCTTTGTGCACTGGTGTGCAGTCATGTTGGAACAGGAAGGGTCATCCCCAAACTGTTCCCACAAAGTTGGGAGCATGAAATTGTCCAAAATCTCTTCTTCTGCTGAAGCATTAAGAGTTCCTTTCACTGGAACTAAGGGGCCGAGCCCAACTCCTGAAAAACAGCCCCACACCATAATCCCCCCTCCACCAAACTTGGCACAATGCAGTCAGACAAGTACCGTTCTCCTGGCAACCACCAAACCCAGACTCGTCCATCGGATTGCCAGACAGAGAAGCATGATTGGTCACTCCAGAGAACACGTCTCCACTGCTCTGGGGTCCAGTGGCGGCGCTTTACACCACTGCATTCGACGCTCTGCATTGCGCTTGGTGATGCAAGGCTTGGATGCAGCTGCTCAGCCATGGAAACTCTTTCAATAAAGCTCTCTACGCTGTTCTTGAGCTGATCTGAAGGCCACATGAAGTTTGGAAGTTTGTAGCGATTGACTCTACAGAAAGTTGGTGACCTCTGCGCACTATGCGCCTCAGCATCCGCTGACCCCGCTCTGTCATTTTACGAGGCCGACCACTTCGTGGCTGAGTTGCTGTCGTTCCCAATCGCTTCCACTTTGTTATAATACCACGGACAGTTGACTGTGGAATATTTAGTAGTGTGGAAATTTCACGACTGGGCTTGCCGCATAGGTGGCATCCTATCACGGTACCACACTGGAGTTCACTGAGCTCCTGAGAGCGACCCATTCTTTCACTAATGTTTGTAGAAGCAGTCTGCAGGCCTAGGTGCTTGGTTTTATATACCTGTGGCCATGGAAGTGATCGGAACACCTAAATTCAATGATTTGGATGGGTGAGTGAATACTTTTGGCAATATAGTGTATATCTCCACGATGTTTTTAAAAAAAATAAGCCAAAACTTTCTCAAAACTGTCATAAAACAATGCCTTAGGCATTATGTAGCATCTTCATAACCTTTTTATGTAATAACACACATTAAACTCTTCAGACATCTGGTTCCTACCACCACCACTGTGAACAATTCTGACTAAGCCAGTTTCCTTGCAAGGCAGCATTTCACATCAAAGCACTCTGAATGACTTTGTTTGCATCTTAACCACTGAATTATAAAGAAATTGTGAAATATTCATGGAATTCCCCTTTAATAACCCTCTACTTTGATCTTATTTTTTTGTTTTCTTTCAGGTGGGGCGGTTCAGGAAGACCGCTGCCCGGCGAAGAGAGTACCACATCCTGTTCATGGTCCTCACCACCGTGGTGTGCTATCTGGTGTGCTGGATGCCATATGGTGTGGTTGCCATGACAGCCACATTCGGCCGCCCGGGCCTCATCACTCCCGTCCTGAGCGTGGTGCCCTCCCTGCTGGCCAAAAGCAGCACTGTCTTCAACCCCATTATTTACATCCTCATGAACAAGCAGGTTATTGCTCAGCTCCTTCTCCACCCACTGGCCAGTCAGACATGGAATGGATAAGTTAGTAGCCCTGATGAGCACCGACACTCATAAAATTATATGGTGATTTTAAAAAAAACACAAAACATTCAGGTCATTTCATTTACAAAGAACCAGGCGCCCTGGAAAATTTGATGCATTGAATTTACTAGGAAGATATAGTGTTTTTCCCAGACCTTGAGAACGTCAAATACTTACAACGGGGGCCCATAAGATCTTTTTTAGGCTACCTCAATCGCCTCCAAGGTCTTTGACAAATAAAGATGGATGTTTTGATCTGTGGCACTCAGAATATGGCAAAATCGCGTAGCTCTTCCTTCTTCCCTTTACTACTACTACTACTACTACTACTACTAATAATAATAATAATAATAATAATAATAGTTTGATTTTATAATGCACCAGTTGCAACTCAAAATGCTGTAAAATAGAAGGAATTAAAGTTGAATCTCTGTCAACGGTCTTGATTTTCAGAAATAATGGAAATGTATAACTGCATGTCATCAGCATAGCTATGAAAATATATATCATGTTTCCCGAACACATCACCTAGAGGCAACGTACAAAGAGAAAAACAAAGGCCCTAAAATTGAACCCTGTGGGACTCCAAACGTAAACGTTTTTGATGAATGATTTCCCAGTGAAACCAAGAACTGTCTATTCTTTAAATATGAGAATTAGAATTAGAGATTAGAATCTTGTGATCAAAGATATCAGCTGCACTGACTATTCGTTTTGTCCTGTGTAATCATGTTTATGTGACGACCTAATGGGACTGAGTGGCAACTTTGTTGGGAAGGTAGAGGCTGGTTAAAGGAATGGGTGCTCCATCACCCCCTGCATTGTCATTTAGGCTATTACTAATCTTGTGCACATGCATTTATCATTTAAAGCTGCACTATGTAAGATTAAAGGTAGAATTACAGAGATAGGAGAAAAAAAAAAAAACACTAAAACATGGTGTGCATACAGAGGCGTCAGCTCAGATTTACCAGGAGTTGTTCAGATGTCATTTCACATAAACTAAATATATAAAATATATTACATAAACACAGTTCCTCTTTGGTTTATCTACTTTTGGCAATGACTATACTGTAATATATTTTCTTAAAATTTATTAAAAATTATTCAATGAATTTGAATCAGGTATATTCAATGCATCACAGTGCATAATCATTATGGTACATAAAAAGCAGTTGAAAATGAGAAAAACCTCTGTTCTTACTGAAGACTGTTAAACAGTAAGACTCACTCTTCCACTGCTGTTGTTCTCAATAGCTTTAAGCAGACTTTAAGTAGATTAGCACACTTATTATAAAATTGATATAATTGAAATTGAAATAATACAGAGTAGATATCACAGAACATTAAAACCTCTTATATACACTTAAACACTGTTATTGTGCTACTGATTCCCAAATTTTTACTTATTTTTTCTCTGAGCCTGAGAACTGTGTAGAATGTGTGTAGAACGTTTCAGCAGGACAGAACTGAAGTCCTTCATTAACACCACGCTTTCTCTTTTGTTCCAAACTGTTCCACTGTGGCTTTAATCCCTGTGCACTAACCAACATAGAATAACAGAAGGAAAAAAATAATTTTTTAAAGCATCTGATATTCATCTTCAGTGCTGAGTTTATAAGCTTGAAATCGAAGTTTGGTTCCATTCAGTGAAATGGAGTAAGAATATTTACACAAAGATGCTTCAGTATCTCAGGTTAAAGATTTATAAGCTCAGACAACAAAATGGAAAACCCGCCAATGATCTTACACCTCACATTCATTCATCATCTAACCTGCTTATCCTCCTGGGTGTGCTGGAGTCTATCCCAGTGTTCAGGGGGCGGAAGGCAGGCAATACCCTGGACAGGTCGCCAGTCCATCACATGGCTCAAATAAAGAAAACTAATACTGCTCAGTAGCGCTAATCTAAGAGCTAACGCAACAATAGCATTTCACATAGTTCATTAGACATTCAGCTTATCAAATAAACAGTAAATCAAAACCTCAGCAATAGGGGTGCGGGAAAAAAATCGAAGCATCGCGATGCGGGCGTGCACGATTCTGAATCGATTCATTCAACCTCAAAAATCAATTTTCTAAATATTTAATTTATAACGTAATGTTGACGGAACGCAAAGGGCGGAAACCTGGAAGTTCGGAAGTGCAGCGCCTGGACAGTCTGTGGCGGCACATAACTAAAACACAACTGGGTGAGCGAGAAATCCGACCGGCTCCCTCTGCATTAAAAGCCAGGTCAGGTCAGGAGTCACAACACAAATGATAAGAAGAGCCATTTTGTCCTTTCAACAAAAATCAAACCACCTTGGGAGCCACAACATTTAATGTCCAGTATGTCTCAGTATGTGTTAATGTCCTAGTATAGGCTAAACAATATAAACGAAAACGCGGACCTGCTCTGCTCTGCTTTAAGCTTTAGCTATAGCCGCTTTTCCTCCATCTCTGCCAGAAAACTTTTCTTGTAAAATGTCTTTCAGCTGTCGGCTGTTTTACGAGGCTGAAGTCGCTTCTCATTCTCCAGCTTCTTGCTGAACTTTCCCGTTCCACCTTAAATTCTGACTGAGGCGCCCAAGGTAACTAAAGTACAGCTTTTTTCTGCTAGTGCATCTCTATTTGAGTTAAACATATTGGAAAAAAAATATAAAATGTGCCACAATTTTGCACAGGCTACATTTTATGTTTTTTTTCCTAATATGATAAATTCAGTGGCAGCACAGTGGCGCAGTGGGTAGCGCTGTCGCCTCACAGCAAGAATGGCCTGGGTTTGATTCCCAGCCGGACGACCAGGGTGTGCATGTTCTCCCCATGTCTGCGTGGGTTTCCTCCGTGTGCTCTGGTTTCTTCCCACAGTCCAAAGACATGCAGTCAGGCCAACTGGACATGCTAAATCGCCCCTAGGTGTGTGTGTGTGAATGTGTATGTCTGTCTGCCCTGTGATGGACTGGCGACCTGTCCAGGGTGTATCCTGCCTTTCGCCCAGTGACCGCTGGGATAGACTCCAGCTCCCCACCGCGACCCAGAAGGATAAGCGGTTTAGATGATGTGTGTGTTAATTCAGCAGATAAAGAGTAGTTTCGCATTAAAATGTGCAGAAGTATGTTCTCTGTAGAGAACTTGTTTTCACTTCTCACACACACACATTTTAAGCCGCTTATCCTTCTGGGTTGCGGGGGGGAGCTGGAGCATAGCCCAGCGGTCACTGGGCAGAAGGCAGAAAACACCCTGGACAGTTACTGAGAAAATCAACAAAACATAATTTGAATCAAGTCCATTCAATGCATTACATTTTTCATTGAAAGCCTGGGCCACTTTGAGACCTCTCTTGAGTCATGTTTGATCCTGAAGCATCATGGTGGACAGGTGATCTTACTAAACCCCGGCAGGGTGACCTTGCCCTTATTTGAAAAGTCAGAGTGAGAGGTTGTGGTCATCCTCCTGACCAGGAGTTTCTCGAAGAGTAGCGGGTGATAGGCACCCAACGTGCAAGCCATGTCACGGTCCTTGGTATAATAGTGACAAAGGGTCGTATGTCTTTTGGACGGGATGAACTCGTACACATCGATCTGCTCACAAAGACCCATCATGAGGGCAATGCCTGAAACAGAACACAACAACATCACAACTGCAATGTTCTAAACAAAGACTAAAAGAATAACAGTAAAAATATTCAATTCGCCTTTTTTGCATGAAAATTGTCTTTGATTTATTTTTTTGGACCTGTTTATTAAATTCAAAAACATAAAAAATAATAGTAATAATGTGTGCAGGGGTCTTTTTGGAGTATGTTGCCTTGAGGTAACATTGTGTGACAATAGGAAGAAATGGTATAGATCCACGTTCCCTGAAGTGGTGAGACCTGGCTTGTGACTGGCCAAATCCATTCTTCTGTCATACAATGTTGCTTCTAGGCAACAAACATATTTCTGCAAATTCTCAAAAAAAATGATACTGAATATTAAAAAAGAGGTTTAAATATGCCCACTAAGAGATAATATGACCAAGTACATGCTTTTTATTGACTTACTCAAACTCTTCTCTTCATAGCAAACCCTGTGATTGTCTTTAAATATGTATAATGCCATTGAAAAGTGAGGAAAATTAGTTTGTTGCCCTGAAGCAACAGGGTTAAAATTGATTCTAATCAATTATAGTAATATTCAGTAATGTATTTTTGGCCAAATTAAAGTTCTTAGACTATTTCCAAACAAAACAATGAACGGAATAAAGTAACTTTTGTTTGTGAGCTTTAAACACTGATTGTCATAAAAAGAGCCAGTGGTTAACACAGAAGCAGGCAGCTAAATAAAAGGAGAATCCACAGTCAAAAACAATGACAACAGAGCTAGGGTTCATAGTACCATGTGCACGGGTAATCGAGCACACGGTCAGCTGCTCAGGATGCCAGTATGCTGAATACTGAAATCACTAGTTGGGTATTTGCCATATTTCACCATGTAAAGGTGACTAAAAGATACAGGCTTTCTATTCACATAAACTTTGGTTTTATGTTCTAATGTGGCAGTTAATATGAATATAACACAAGTGTCTGAACGTCAGTGCATTGCCAAGGATGCGTTGTTGAAGATGTGACTGTGAAGGCAGAGACAGTGTGGTCAGCTTCGGTGCAGCTTTTTTGCTAACTAGCTGATGTTTGCTAGAAAATATATGTACCTGACAAACTAACATGTCCAGAGAGCTGAAAATACCCTGTGTAGAAGGTGAGTGCTCATAAACAGCCCACGCTGTAGTGGTTAGCTATGTTAGCCCATTACCTCATCTGAAGTGGCGGCTTTCGTTACTCAGCCAGCATGAATGTTTTCCTATAGATATTTCTGAACAGCAAAACATGTTTTCATATTTCAAGCTCCATTGATATATACTAAGTAAGCCCACACTAATTTTGGCCAATAATGTTAACCGGATATGGTTCTCTATGCTTGAATATCAAAATTAGTTGGAATGCACATCCCTAATTAGGAACTAGGGGTGGTCATCGATGCGAACTCCATGTTAGAGCACGATAAGACGTCTCATTAATGTGTCCAAAGGCTGAATCCAAAGCTATTAAAAATATATAGGTGGTTATGACAGAGGTTATGACCTCCTGAAATGGACACGTTGCAGTTGGCAGTATATTATGAAGACAGCTCTGCCCGTGTACTGTCCACCGTTGGTCTCACCAGAAAGAAACAGCACCATCTTCTGGATTAAGACAGAATGCATTTTTATAATCTATTAGTCTGACAATGGGCTTATGGCTAGAGCAGGACGCAGATAATATTCTATAAATCTGCAAAATGAATTTGAATAACTGATTTTATGACTTTTATGAAACCACTCACTTCCATAGGGTAGCAAACACTAGGCCACCAGCAGCATGCAGTTGCCAGCTATAGGCATATAGGAGACATCTTACTCTGATTTGTGGCCTTAGTTATGGTCTTTCTACTGCTTGGGATTGGTCACTGGGTTTCTGGAACAGCAGGAAAACTTAAACAAGACTGCACTGGACATTAAAGCTGACATGGCCGAGTTTTGCGCGTGCTGTTATGAAGCGTTTTTAGCAGTTTAAAAATCTTCATCAACCCCCCTTTTCACTGACCACAGTTTGCAAAAAAAGTTGTTTTCATTTACTGAGATGATGGTTAAAAAGCCACTATTTACTTCCGCTTTCCTGCATCGCTGATGTGTTGAGATGGCACCAGCAACTAGTGTTGCCAGGTTGGGCAAGAATCCCCGAGGTTAGCTTTTATGCCAGTTGCCAACAAACAAATATAGTTAATCAGCTAGTTTTTTCACTTTGTTGTACTATTTCAGTTTCATTAAAAATAATACAAAGGCAAACTAAAAAAATCGATTTTTTTTATAATATTACAAATGTAAAAACAACAACAACAACAACAACAACAACAATTATAATAAGAATAGTTAGAAATTAAATAAAAAACTCAACAGTCCTGCTGGTATAATGATCAATAAAACTGTAATAATAATAATAGTAATAATAAAAATAATAGTAATAATAATAATAATAATAGTAATAATAAAAATAATAGCAAAAATAATTTAGTGTATTCAGTCATTCTGAGTCATTATTCTTAGATAATATATTTTCTTATCTTATAGTTTGATAGAATAGGTGAAAATGAAAATATTCAATCGTTGCAGCCCTACTTAATTTACATTCATAATAATCATAATTGAATGATAAAACATTGATAAGTGTGTATCGACACCATTTTTAATCCCGAAATACTGCGATATTAGACTGTATCCATATCTTCTCCTATTCTTACTAGGAATGACAGGAAAAACAGTTCAGAAATGCACAAGTAAATTGATGGAAATACTTTGCAAGCAGTAAACAAACAAACAAGATTATGTGTCCTAGAACTACACTATAGGCATTAATCCACCTGTTGTCTGCCTAGTTTTCATTGTCTGTATTCCACTTTCATTGTCTGTATTCTACTGTATCCATCTTCAGCCCTTCTGTGTGGGTAGCAATAGATTTGAAGCAAGTCATGAACTTAATGAAATGCAGTTCATGTTTTGTTTATTATGGCTGCCCACAGACCTACACACAAAAACACAAACAAACACAGCACCCTGCAAAGATCAGAGAAAGAAACTCTTGCATGCCTGAACACTTACATGCACAGCTGCATATTAACTAGCTGGCACAGCTTCATTCACAGACCAGCCTTCCAGGTGAGCAACGTCAATGCCAAAACCAGTGGGACACCCAGTCCCTCCAGATGACCAGTCTGGCATCCACCTTCTCCAGCACAGCCAATTCACTCTAGGAACATACTAGCCCAATGAATACTGCCATAAGTTGCCAAGGCAGCTAGCAGCATTTTTTCAGTTTTTCACTTATACATAAAAATATAAGCTGTTAAGAAGGATTACAATTGACTAATTACTTCTCTGTATCTGTAATTATATTACCTCTAGTTACTCTCCAACACCCACACACACCCATACCAATGGTGAGGTTCAAGGGAAACCTCAACAGTCCCCTTGGTCCTTTATTTAGAAACAAATCACAGTAAACATAATTTATAAAGGCCTGTCACTCTCCTTGCTTTTAAACAACACACAGCCAGACAGGCACAGATAATCTATATAGAGGAAATTTATGCATAGAGCATAATTAATATTGTTCTCTCAGAGGTATTTGGAAATAACCAAATTCTTAATATGTCAGTAAATGTAATGTGATTGCTTGATACAGGATTTCAGCTGCTTGTGGACTCTTTTGCTATAAAGCCATGCTGTTGTAATTCGTGCAGAATGTGGTTTGGCATTATCTTACTGAAACAAGCAAGACCTTCCCTGAAAAAGACTTTGTCTGAATGGCAGAATATGTTGCTCTAAAACCTGCACTTATGCACCCCATACCATCATGGATGCTGGTGTTTGAACTGTGGGCTGATAACAAGCTGGATGGTCCCTCATAAATTCAGCATTCATAATTTCCTAAAAAGCATTCCAGACCACAGGACACTTTTCCACTTCAACTCAGTTCGTCTTCCATGAGCTCAGGCCCAGAGAAGGCGGCAGCGTTTCTGGATCTTGTTAATATTTGGTTTCTTCTTCGCATGGTAGAGTTTTAACTTGTATTTGTGGATGCAGCGACAAACTGTGTTCACATACAGTGGTTTTCAGAAGTATTCCTGAGCCCATGCAGTGACCACTACAGAACTGTATCTGTTTTTAATGCAGTGCTTCCTGAGGGCCTGAAGATCACAGCCAGCCAATAATGGTTTTTGGCCTTGTCCCTTGCATACAGAGATTTCTCCACATTTAATAATATTATGTAGCGTAGGTGATGAAATCCCCAAGTTCTTTGCTATTTTACATTGAGAAACATTCTTTTTGATTTGTTGCACTATTTGCCTGCACAGTCTTTCACAGAGTTTCAACGTTTAATATGTCATCTTTGTACTATTTTAAATTAAATATAGGGTTTAAATGTGTTTTGGACATCATTACATTCTGTTTTCATTTACATTTTGCACAGTGTCCCAACTATTTTGAAAAAAAGGTTGTAAACCATAATACTTTACACTTCTTTGTCACAGGAAAAGGTAATTGCATTAGTGTAACGTTGCGCTGAAACTATCAGCTTCACAGATTGTCTGAATACTGTATTAAGATAAATACAGAAGCATATTCTGGGCCTATTTTTGTGATAACAGTAAAACAGAAATAGGATGCAAGTGTGGCAGATATGTTCTTGGTGATTTTGTGACCACAGGCACTAATCTGGTGCAGAACGGTGAGTTATAAATTAGGGTTAGGTTAGCATAAATATGATATCTATAGGGGTGGTTAGATGTGCTCCAGCTATTTTCATTGACATCTAGGCCATGGTTCCCATAAGTGTTTATAGAGGAAAGACAAACTATTAAAAAAAGCAAAAAATACTATATTCTATTGACATTCTATTGATTTTACTAACCATATAACTACTGCATAATGACACTTCAACTGTCTGTTTCATGTTTAGTAGCCAGGACTGAAATTTTTGTTGTAATTTGTTATTAAGGACGCACAATGGTACCGGACTCTTATCAGTATGGGCAGTATATTGCTTAAAAATAATACTGGCATCAGACAGATGTTTAGATTTCACCAAAATTTCAAAAAGATATTTGATTATATATTTATTTTATTATGGAAAAGTAGAATATTTAGACTATGCTGGTTCAAAAATTGGTATAAATGTTTATATATCACTATTAATACCAGCATAATGCATAGTTTGCATCTGTAGGAATACTGAACCCTCAGGCAAGAAACGTGTGATGAACTGACGACTAATACTGAGGTTACTGATACAGGTCTTCATGTGCTTTGGTGCAGTTCTACAGGTGTTTCCTGATTCTGTTCCAGTGCAAGCACAGATCGCAGGAGAATGGTCACTCCATGCCATCGAGGACCACGGTCATCCAGCTGAACCGCAGACTCTGCAGCAACACCGTGACGGGCAACGTGCCCACCTCCCTCAGGCTCAACAACAACAACGAGTGCAGCCCTCCTGTCTCAGTCCGGACCAATCTGCCCGAAATCACTCCCTGATAGCTCAACAAACCTCTTCATAAGCAGCGTAACCTGGCTCGGGATTCGAGTTAGACGCAATCGTTCTTCTTGCCTGAAGGATGGAATAAGGATAAGGATAGTGTTCCTCAGCATCGGCCAAAAGGCATGTCTAGACTGGGATGTCGGCCCTGAGTCTGTATTCAATGGAATGCGCTAATCTGTCTTTTGATTTTGGTCATTTCACATGATGTACTCTGTTTTGCTGCTGAATGTCTGTGTCAATATCTTTAAATGGTTTTGCTAAATGTAATGGAGAACAAAGTGTACATGTTGATGGAATACAAAACTGTGACTAATCAATATGCTATAGGAGTCAATGTGTTTGGAACAAGTGCATGTCTTGTTGGATCCATAAACCAGACAATGGAGTCAAAACCTGTCGCTTTTGGAGCCCAAAATGAAGACTCTTCTGGACGTTCAATCACAAAAAACTCATGTTGGCATGCACCCATTACAACAGCAGTCCGAAGCATCAAGCTAATGCCTAGTCTCCTTGTCATGTGTCACGCAGATGCCCAAACTAGACAAAACAATGTCTAAAAATAGGTACTACTTTGTTTGAGTGGCTTGTTTATTAATGTGTGCATGTAGTCAATATATCAGGAGGCTAAAAAGCCTTATGATTCAAGTCATTCAGGAAATAAGCTAGAAAGTAGCCCAAGAGGATGACCAAAGCCTCTTTAAATGAAGTTCTGAACAACAATGGACTAGGCCCTGGACTTCAGTCCAGCCCAGCTCACCACAATCATTCGGACACCAACCATCTTGGTATCCCCTTTCAGTGTACCCTGACTGGTAGCTTCATCTGGACTGGTAATAAACTATTTTGGTGGTTGTTAGCAGTCTACAGATAAGGCAGTTTAACTGTGTAATGAATAATGTGGCAAACATCTAGACATCTAGCTAAGTAAGGTGTTTTTCCTAATTAGATTACTGGTGATGGTGATGTTTCAACCCTCTACCGTTACCAGTGTGGCCGCTAGCCAGGGAACTTTTGATTTCTGAGACAGACAGAATCTCAATAATCAGATTTGGCTACGCATGAGCACACAGATTCCCCTCTCATACCAGAAGATCACCAGCTGCCTCCAACTGAGCTTCCTAGAAATCTGCTTTCATTTTTGAAAATTTGACAAGGGCTGAATCTCTATGGTCAACTGAGTCGGAGCATCTTTGAAACGATCTGATGAGTCCTGTTTTCTTTTACATCATGTTTACTGCCAGGTACGAGTACACCGTTTACCTGGACACCAGGATGCACTGTGGGAAGAAGATAAGCCAATGTAGGGAGTGTGATGCTCTGGGCAATGTTCTGCTGGGAAAGCATTGATGTGGATGTCAATTTGACATGTTCCACCTAACTAAACATCGTTACAGTCCAGGCACACCCCCATCATTGCGATAGTATTCCCTAATGGCAGTGGCCTCTTTCCACCAGATAGTGTGGCCTGCACACCACACACATTGTTCACATTGTGAATGATTTGAGGAACATGAAGAAGAGTTCAACCTGTTGCCCTGGATTCCGAATTCTCCGCATTCTCAATCCGACTGAGCGTCTGTGGGATGCGCTGTAACAACAAGTCTGATCCGCGGCAGCTACGCCTCAAAACAAACAAGACTTAAAGAATCTGCTGCTAACATCTTAGTGCCAGGTACCACAGTACACCTTCAGAGGTCTTGTAGAATCAATGCCTCACAGACTGGAGCTGTTTAGGTGTCATGTGGAGGACCAACAGCACGTTAGGCATAATGTTTTGGCTCATAGGTGTATATTGACCATTCTACCAAATTCATTCAAATTGCAGACCCACATTAAAAACTATAAAAAACACACTCAGGTATTCAGATCTTAGATATGTACAAGGATCAATTTTAACCCAAGGCATTCATTGATATAGTAGTAACCTAAATATTATTAAACCATTAATATTATTATATCATTAAAAATTATTATCACAGGGTACTTTCTACTGGGAGGTAGCTGTTCCAAACCCTACCCCTTAATTTTAACTTGTGAAAATAATACTTAAATTTGATTTTTTTTTTCAATGTTTTTAAAAAGATCTTTTGGATTTCTTTTAAAGTGAAGGTAAAAGATTTAAATTTACCAAAGTCTGAAAATCAGTGTGGAACCTTAAGAACTGTCACTTCTGAAACAAATATTTTCCGAAACACATTTTCTGCAATTAAGGAAAGTCTTTACGTTTAAATACAAATATTATGATTTTTTTGTGTGTACAACTGTTCACAGCTGTGTTTGCTAGTCCTGTATAGGCTAGCGTCTTAGCTACAACTGCTACAATTGTCAGGAGTGAAACAGTCATTACCAAAATATTTGGTAAAGTTTCGGCAGCGTTATGATTGGTTCGGTAGTGACAAAATGGAATGTCACTACCATTTATTATTTTAATAAAATAAAAATATTGAGTCAATCAAAGCAAAAGCATTTTTGTCTAAAGTCCAAATCTGTTAAAAAGTCTGAAATGTGTTTTGAAATCTGACCTTCAACCAAGTTGATAGAACATCAAGGAACAGACTTTATTACAGCCAGAGAGTCATACAAACAGTCCTAAGCAACCAAAACAAAGACGAAATCAATGAACATGAAAAACACCAAGAACAATAAGTAACAAGGCTGAGAACTGTGGAGTACGATCTGGCAAGACTTCACAAGGACCCGAGCCAAGATACAAGCTATATATAGAAAGAGAAATGAGAAAACATGCTTCAAGTGAGCTGTGAGCCATTACAACTCAGGAGAGAGTGACCTCTGCAGGTGGGGAGGGGAATCTCCAGCCAAGAATGTGACATACACCAGTCAGGCATTACATTATGACCACCTCCTTGTTTCTACGCTCATTGTCCATTTTATCAGCTCCACTTACTATATAGGTGCACTTTGTAGTTCTACAGTTACAGACTGTAGTCCATCTGTTTCTCTGATACTTTGTTAGCCCCCTTTTACCCTGTTCTTCAGTGGTCAGGACCCCCATGGACCCTCACAGAGCAGGTACTATTTGGGTGGTGGATCATTCTCAGCACTGCAGTAACACTGACGTGGTGGTGGTGTGTTAGTGTGTGTTGCGCTGGTCTGAGTGGATCAGACACAGCACTGCTGCTGGAGTTTTAAACACTGTGTCCACTCACTGTCCACTCTATTAGACACTCCTACCTTGTCAGTCCACCTTGTAGATGTAAAGTCAGAGACGATAGCTCATCTGCTGCTGCACAGTTTGTGTTGGTCATCCTCTAGTCCTTCATCAGTGGTCACAGGACGCTGCCCACAGGACGCTGTTGGCTGGATATTTTTGGTTGGTGGACTATTCTCAGTCCAGCAGTGACACTGAGGTGTTTACAAACTCCTGCAGCACTGCTGTGTCTGATCCACTCAGACCAGCACAACACACACTAACACACCATCATTGTTACTGCAGTACTGAGAATGACCCACCACTCAAATAGTACCTGCTCTGTGAGGGTCCATGGGGGTCCTGACCACTGACGAACAGGGTAAAAGGGGGCCAACAAAGTATCAGAGAAACAGATGGACTACAGTCTGTAACTGTAGAACTACAAAGTGCACCTATATAGTAAGTGGAGCTGATAAAATGGACAATGAGCGTAGAAACAAGGAGGTGGTCATAATGTTATGCCTGATTGGTGTGTATATACTTTTTTAACACAGGGTGAATTGGTGAAGCCACTCCTCCAGTGGTACATACTCCTTGGAAATGCACTGATTTTCACTGACTTTAAAGGGCTTTTTCTTATATGGTCATATGAAAACGTTTAGGGACCCCAGTCAAATTACATGTTTTGCTGACTTCAAGTGAAAGTAAGTTAACAAACCCTCTACAGAGAACACACTTCAGCACATTTTAATGTAAAATTACTGTTTATTTGCTGAATTTTAACATATTGGGGAAAAACATAAAATGTTTTATTTTTTATCAATTATGTTAAAATGTGTTAAATAATTAATAAATAATTAACAAATAATTAACATTTTCACTTCAAAATCAACAAAACATGTAATTTGACAGGGCGTTGTGCTAAAGTATTCCAGTGGTTTCATTCGGTGTTATAGAACACTTTCCTCCATCTCTCACCAGCTTTTCTCTGCACCCTGTTGGATATTGCAGGACGCAGTTGCAGTCATATCAGGCGACCACAAATGGACAGGATGCTGAGAGCCACTCGCCGCATTTCCGTATTTCTTTCTCTCACTGTTTGTTACCTGACATACGGCAACTCACTAGACCGTCTCTCATTAGTCCTGATGCCCAGTCCATTTTTGCTCTCAGGCACGATGAGACTTTTTAGCTGATCTCCTGAACTTCCTGAATCACAGAGACTCGTTACATTAATTAAAAACATTTGTAAAACTTTATGAAAGGGGAATCCAGCTGGATTTGTTAAGCTTGAAAAAAAAAGCCAGAGCTTTTTATTTCTGAATGGAATCAGCAAGAATTTCATACCATTATACAACATTATGCATTCAATCAGCACCTGGTCACGTTAACCAAAATTGCAAATAAAGATGCTGTAAGTCTGTAAGTCCCTGTTTTGTATTTCACGGTTTTCCCTTACAGTGAACATGTACAGACACATACAGCAGCTCACACTCAAAATGTGGTGAAAGGCAGGAGATGATCCAGGGTTAGAGCTGCGGTTGACTGAGGCTGTTTGTCTGAGGATTTGTAAACACACTGGGCCAGCAGCTACACGCCCACTACAACCGCCATGTCTGGCATTCAAATCAAACAAGCTTCCCTGATCTTTAACAACCACTGTCAAATACAGAAGCACAGCCAAAAGAGAGTCTGTAGATATTCTGAAAGATACAGTACAGTTACTGGATGAAAAGTCGCCCAGTCCATAACAGTGTTAGACATGCAGGATAAAGACGCCACTGGTGTTAGATTTGCATGTGCAGGGAAGCGTATATATGCCAGCCTGGACGACATTTATACTGGCTCTTTTGCAGTCAAGTTTAAATGTCTCTATATGTTTAGTTTTCTATATATCATTGTTTTCACCAGAAAGCCAAGACTCAAAAAATGGGTTTCAGGTCAAAGTGACTCAAAATAATGGATCAGGTGATACATACACTTACAAAAGTTTGGTTATCTTCTTGCCAAATTCATTTTTTTATGGTTGATTTTTGAACTGAAATTCTGCAGCAAACAATTTTAAAGGGGAACTTCACTGGTTTTGCAAAATTACTCAATCATTTAATAGTTTAGATGTAAACAAAATCATTCAGAGTGGTTCGTTGTGAATTGTGCCTTTCTAGAGAAATTTACAGTCAGAATTGTTCACCATTATAGTAATAGGAACCAGATGTCTAAAGCATTTAATAGCTCTAAAAGCTACATCCCGTTAAGTTATTAAACAAAATGGTTATTAATGTGGGCGGCACGGTGGCGCAGTGGGTAGCGCTGTCGCCTCACAGCAAGAATGGCCTGGGTTCGATTCCCGGCCGGGCAACCAGGGTCATTTCTGTGTGGAGTTTGCCTGTTCTCCCCATGTCTGCGTGGGTTTCCTCTGGGTACTCCGGTTTCCTCCCACAGTCCAAAAACATGCAGTCAGGCTGATTGGACGTGCTAAATTGCCCCTAGGTGTGAGTGTGTGTGTGTGAATGTCTATGTCTGTCTGTCTGCCCTGCGATGGACTGGCGACCTGTCCAGGGTGTATCCTGCCTTCCGCCCAATGACAGCTGGGATAGGCTCCAGCACCCCACCGCGACCCAGAAGGATAAGCGGTTTAGATGATAGATGGATGGATGGTTATTAATGCGTTGCTTGATACGTAAGACATTGTTCTGTAACAGATATAAAGTTTTGGCCTAAAAAGTATAAACTATTACTCCGGGGTTACTTCAGTGTTTCAACTCAGAGCAATGTACGCAAGCTAACATGCTTTTGTTGTTACCAGCCTGTAGCTAATGCTGGTGTTGTATCTGATTCAGTTACCCCTCAAATTCACGTTCCCTTCGACAAATCAGGCTGAACGCGCGCACTCACTGAACTGATCTGGTTCCTAGAACTACAATGGTGAACAATTCTGACTCTGTTAATTTCTCTAGAAAGGCCCATTTCACACCAAACCCCTCTGAATGATTTTATTTACATGTGAACGGTTGAATAATTAAGTAGTTTAGCAATATCGGTTGAGTTCCCCTTTAAAGCAGTAGCATTTCCTGCAAATCTTAATACACAGTTACTTTACATGTGATTAACCATAAAAACAAAGCTATAGAAAGATTTTAAAGCACTTTATCTAGTTTCCTGGATTTTCTAACACTAAAATCATGTCTAACGGTAAATAACATCCTAGAACAATGTTAAGATCATTAGCAAAATAACTAAGTTAACTTTTAATAACTTAGTTGTTGAAAGTTAGCTTGATAAATGAGCTCAGTACAAACAGAACTATGTGTTTAACAAATAAAAACAGACACCAATGCACTTGTACTAGTGCAATCTATTGCACTGATATCATTGAGGTTTGATAAAAGACCTTGTGTGTGAAGTTTGTCCTCCTCAGCATAATGTTACACCGAAAAGCTCTAGTGTTAGCTTTAGAGTTAGCTTACCCAAAGGAGCAGCCTCTTACTTAACATGAAAAGCTCTGGTTTCATTAATGTTAACAGAGTTCACATAATTCTTGCTTAAACTTGTATTAAACAGGCTTACATTCATATTTACTCAAGCCTCAGAAGTATATGAGTACAAGCGACTTCTACACAAGTCACAAGTTGAGATGTAAACAAAGTCGTCCCGAGTGGTTTATCGTGAAATGCCTAATTCTAGAGAAACTTAATGAAGCAGACTTTATATACAATGAAAGAAAACAGCTACCAGGGGATCACGACATCGACAGCTATGGATGCCATGTTTCTGCAAGAAAACACTTTTATTAAGACCCGTCAGGGATCTTATGAGAACAAACGTTCTAACTTCTGATGCTGCTAGAACAGCTTTAGAGGTCAGCAGTGAGTAATGTTTGTTTATTTGAGCTCAAGCTATTTCTTTCCTCAGTTGGGAGCCATTAAGTGTCGCCAGCTAGGATGCAAGACAGGTACAGTTTATGCCACACTGGCCCCTTTAATAGCTGTTAATTATGGTATGATTATGGTATGGTATGATAATAATCGTGACAGGCCTATTATAAATTCTGATAAATACAGACACAGGCAAACAAAATATCAAAAAAATATCAGCAAATGTTGCGAATTCCTCACTTTGATAAAGCGATAGAAACTTAAGTTACATAAGAGACATAAAAATGTAGATGTAAAAAAGTCGTGAGACTTCAAACGCATCTGTCTGACGTACATGCACTGATGTTATAGGAGCTTTTTGAATGTCATTATGCAAAGTCTAACCTATAAAGCCAGAAGACGGTGGGTTAGTCTGGATGTTCTCATTAGTGTTGGCCTGAACCACTTTCCACAGGCTCCAGATGAACTCCGGGTGCAGGATATAGAAGGGCTGCTCTGGAGAAAGTGTCCGGTAGTCCTTGTACACCGTGAACAAGTCAAAATCTGGGTTTTTGTACCACTGCAAAAGTCCCAAGAAACATGTTAAACCTGACCCGCAAAGGTCAACGTACACACAAAGAGGGGATGTAAGTATTCAGACGCTTTTGTTTTTGGTATTTTATATAGTTCAGCATGTATCCACCTTAAATGTACATGCACAATGCATTTTCATTTACATTCATAGAAATAAACAAAAATATGACTTTGCACTTATAAATATGAACAAAGATGCACTTATCAGCATAAACAAATAAACTGTCGCTGCAGGAATAAAACCTTGTGTCTCTAAAAATAACAAGAGCAGAAGAAAAACTATTCTTAATTTTAAGTGTAAGTTAATGTAACTATATTTTGTTCTAGGTAATTTTGGAGCATTTCTATTGGTCCATTACAATGTAAATGGCAGATGGCATATTCAAATGCTATTAAAAAAGACAAACATTAATATATACAGGGTTTTGTTCTGACAGCGACAATATGCCATACGTGCAATTCTGCTTTCTCCAAACATGACGAGCTGAATTGTTTCCAAAGAGTTCTGTTTTTGTTTTGGCCAAAGTACATTGCTGGGATTTGTGTAAATGCTTGTGTGCAAACTTCAGACCCGCATCTCATTTTGCATGGAGTGTTGTGTGGATTACAGTCAGTTGTTCATTGTTCCTCTTTTAACTGCTGTGTGAAATCTTCCACTTCCACATCTACCACTTTTATTTTTCAACCTTTACATATGTTTTTACTATGTTTTTATTATAGTGTCTTAATACTTTTCCTGTCAATTTTGTTTTTAAACCTAATTTTGTTTATTCTTATGAATTCATACTGTCTTGCTCATTTTTATAAAGTCAAAAGACATTATATGTGTAAAATATTAAGTCTATACATGCACTGGACGTATTAAATTAGAAAAAACAAAGTGCCTGAATACTTTTTTCTCGCTGCTTATTAATGCAGTGAGTTTTCTGACATTGTATAAAAGCAGTGAGCCACTTGACATCATGTGTTATTAGAGATTTTAGAGATTTCATGCCATTTTTGTGTTGTGGGAAAACCACTGTAATGCAGTTTAGAATATCAAATAAAAACCTACAAGCTCAGCTAAGCCAGAGTATAGTGTGGTTCAGATAGTTTGTTGGCCATTATCCCAGTAATTGTCATAGAATCTGCCCAATCATTTGTGATTTTTTGGCCAAATCCGTCTTTCGGGTTTCATTTTACGTCTTTTGGTTTCAATTTCGGTCTGTTCTTGCTCTACCAAGGGAACTATAAGTGTAAATGCATGGTACCTTTATTTGCAGACACTGAACCTATCCTGGGTTTGAAAATGTAGTATTAGAGCATGAGCTGACATAAAAACACTAGGGCTACAACAATCACTCTACAAAGTCCACTACACTGAATATAAAAAATTGTTGGCGCACATTTTTACTGTCAACATGGTGTTTACTTTAAAAAAATACCCTATATTGTTTTGCATAATATGAAATAAAATATATGTGGCACAGACAGAGCTTTAAAAAACAACAATATAGGAAGATAAACTCACGAAAGCAACGTCCACAAAAGTCACAGCGCATTACAATGCATGATAGCAGAGATATATAAAGCAGCGAATATAGAGATATTTCATAGCAGCACAAAGAACCAGAGTTCCAACACATTTTATGTTCCCAATGACAGCAGGTAAGTGCTTGTAACTCATGGCTACTGTCAGCTTAATAACATTAGGCTACTTAGTAGAAAGCAGAACATTTAATGTAAGAGACGAACGTCTCAATGACGTTAAGGATAATGTAGTAAAATTAATATCATACTAAGGAATCAGTTCAATAATGAAATGGTAAGGCTAAATACTAATGCCATCCAGGCCAGAATGATCCTAAATAAGTTTTAAGATTGCTCAAATTATATAAATTGAAACAAAAATGTAGGCTAGAATTTAGAAAATAAGGCAGGCGATAAGATGAGAGATTAACCAGTTATAGAAGTTCTTGTTAGTTGCAGCCCTAAAAGTCCTAACTGGGAAAATAAGTGTCATTTGTAATTCAGAACATCATGAAAATTTTCAAGGGGTTTAAATATTTTCACAACACACTATAAATGGGCAACACGCTGAAAGTTGGGCTGATTAGCTAATATTAGTAGTTAGCCGGTAGGCAGGTAGGTGGTCAGACTCACCTGATGGAGGTCAGAAGAATAGTTGGAAGCATCCCACGCCACCAGTGTGACGTTCTTATAGAGAGAACTGGTGTTGAAATTATACTCTGGCTCACCCATGACCTGTCCAGGTGTGAAATTAAAAAGCTTTTTAGCATTTTGTCCATCCCCAGCAAGAGACTGCATGTGTTTGAGATGAAGAGGGAGATCAACCTTTGAGTTCACGAGGCGGATGGTGGTCTTGTTGCCCACATCGTTGTCGTAGCCCTCAGTTGGAGCAGAATTGAAGCGAACCACTGCATCATGGGAATCTGTTGAGCGATCAAACATCTTGTCAATAAAAAAAAATCTACTGACACAACAACATTTACATTCCACACAATCATAGGCAGATAGGCAAGCTGTTTACTGCACAATGACATTTCTTTTTATTTGAAAACTATAAACATCAAAATTTACCTGTAGGAATTGTGGGTAAATCATTATATCATATTAATTAAGGTGTTATAAATGAATTATAACAATTCTAATAATTAGGGCACCAGTCCAACAGGACAAAATAATCTCTGAATGAGGTTAACATGATAGTAACGACAGTTATTAACAGTCTCGACTTTTTCTTGTTATCTAAGGGAAATTCTTTCTTAGCTATAAGAACTTCTGTGATATAAGATACACACATGGATAAAACATTTACGAAGTTTAATCAACCATTTATGCTTGTAGGTATATTTCGGTTTTTCCATCTGAATTACGTACCCAAATCGTAAGGCAAATTATTCAGTAACTGCACGAAATAGCTGTAAATTTTGGGTTTTTATTTTTGTAAAAATTAACAGAAAATGTGTTTTATGATCATAAACATAATTCTATATGCTTATAATTTACTGCTGACAGCCAAAAATTTTAGTTGCCCTGTTTTATATATATAAGTAATTTTTACAGAGCAGATCACTGAAAACACCATCTGAGATCCAGTTTGTAGCTCAGATTTGTGGAAAAATGGGTCGACTTTCAGTAGACAAAAAAATGGAGTTCAGCTTCTTTTATTATAAGGGTTTGAAATTACATCACCCATCTATTTGACTGGAAAGAAGACAGTTACAGCTCTCATATGACCCCCACCTTTAGAATGTAGCTTATGAAATATGAAAGTTATGAAGTAAAGAATATGACAAAGCATGCTTTGCAACCACTGCTGGTCCCAAGGAGTTAAAGAGGTTAAAAGGACTTGGTAAAAGGGATAATAAAAGATATGTGTATAGAAAAAGACAGATGTGTACAATGTAAAATAAACAAACTGAACAAGGTAAAATGAGAAATCTAAGAGGTACAGGTAAAGTCAGATAGGTGGCACTATTCAGTTGCCTGAATAAGAACCAAAAGAAGAATTAATGAACACTGGTTACTCTGTAGTGACAATAATAGCTGTCACAACATATAAATAAAATACGAAACATGAAATAATGTGCTGTAATAAAATAATCAGCTTACAAGAATTACATTTAAATTCTGTTTTAACAAATTTATTCACCAAATAATGCTTTTGAACAACACTTCAATATTTTTTAGCTTGGAATAATGCTTTACATATAGCACTGTTATCTGTGTGGTGTTGATATAGCAAGATGTAGCTTTATTTCTGCCAGTATGACATGTTTGAATAAAACATACCGAATATGTTGTCGGAACAAAACCTCATATCAAAACCTCCAAAATGGCAACTTTACAGGAGGAAAAACCTACTTTACTTTTACTTTACTACTTTAGTTTTCTTTTGGTCCATTCATCACGAAATGTAAACACACTGTAAAGAGCAACAGGCATTTTCAAATCATGTAAAAAACTGAAAAATGACAAAAATGGGGATACAATGTTTTGTTCCAACAACAGCGATAAAAATATTTTTGGTCAAACAAATTAAATGGGTTGATTTAATGTTTTTGCTCTAAACTGTGTCCTGTTTACTCATGAGTGTGGGCCTCACAGACTCCAGCCTGCCTGAGTAAAAGCAATTTAAGGTGAAAGAAGTGAAGAATAAAGTAAACAGAATAACTAAAGCAGGTGGAAATGCAGGATAAAACCTGTTAAGAGTGGGAGACGGGCTGTGAGACCCCAAACATGAAATGTAGACCCGTCCACAACACTGATTTAACCTTCTATTGCACAATGTTGCCTCAGGGCAACAAACTCATTTCCCTCACTTTACAATAACATTATACATATTTAAAGACAATGCTAGGATTAACAATAAAGGGAAGAGTTTGAGTATGTCAGTAAAAAGCATGTGCTTGGTCATACTATCTCTTTAAACCTCTTTTTAAACACTAAGTATCAATTTTTTTCTTATGAGATTTTGCAGAAATATGTTTGTTGCCTAGAAGCAACATTGTGTGACGGTGGAATGGGTTTAGCCAGTCACAAGCCAGGTCTCACCACCTCAGGGAATATGGCTGTATATCATTTCTTCCCATTGTCGCACAATGTTGCCTCAAGGCAACATACTCCAAAAGGACTCCTGCACACATTATTATTATTTTTTTTTTTTGTTTTTGAATTTAATAATCAGCTCCGAAAAAATAAATCAAGGACCATTTTATGCAAGAAAAGTGAATTTAATTTTTTTCTTAATTGTTCTCATAATGCGTGCAGTACAGGGTTAACGTAATTTAAAGTACTGAGTGATGGAAGGCAAAACAGCTGTGCGTTGGCATTTCAACACGGATTATAATCAATCTTGACACAAATTCAGGAGCTTTTTAAATGCAAATCATTTGATGTCTTTCAAAAAGGATGTCAAGCACCAGGAAAACAATGCAACAGAGCTTTGTTTTTCATTTTGGCAGATATTCTGAATGCCTGATTGCTGTCAAAATTCACACATGACTAAAGGAATAAAAGAGGACGACCCAAAGCACATTCCACTCTCACCTGTTTGAATTTTGTCAGTTTCCTTGTCTCTGCTTGACTTGTTGTGTTTATGTTTTATGCTTATTTGATTTTGTCTTCTGGCTTCTGTGTTTTTCTGTTTGACTGACCGGCCCTCCAGTCTGTCTTTAATCATGTTTTTTTGATTTTGCATCTTGATCTCCTGTGATGTCTTCTAAATTTTGTATATATTCATGTCCACCAACCATAAAACATCATTGGTTATTAATTCAACTATTTATTATTATAAAACAGACTCTAAAATTGTCCGTATAAATGCATCAAGTCACTAAAAACATTGTGCTGTGAGTGGACTATTATGCTGCTCCACTGAAGATGGACCAAAGAGTGTATTGACAGATGAACTAAGAATCAAATGTTTTAAGAGAGACTGACAACTTATTTTCTTAACAGCTGAGCAAAAAATAGCTAACAAACTAAATCACTCGTCCATTAATGTTCAGTAAATGGTTATGAATTTAATATTTTTACTGAATGGCTTACTGCAAACTGTAAAATAAAGAATATATTACTCAAATGTCTTAAATGCTAAGTCAACTAACTGCACCATATGGAGGCTCTTCTTCATCCTTGTTAGACTGACTCTCTCTGTAAGTTGGGTATATTACATGCTCCAAATGCTTCAAATAAAATTAAATCATCACTTAATTATTTAAAAGTTTGTGTATTTTATGTTGTTGCCATTTTATAAAAGCAATAAGCCATTTGAAGCCATGCATTACAGTGATTTTACGACAGGTGAAAAGGTTTCCTCTGCTTTGCATTGTGGCTAAGAACACCCCTTATCTATGATACAATCACAGTAGCACATGGTCTCTCATGGTTGATTGCTTTATTAACTCACTCCATGATAATTCCAAGGATGCATTAGTCTTTCAATATGGAATAGGCAATCAGAATTCTATTAAGATTTTAATAAGACACCAAGAAAAAAAACACAATCATGGTTAAGGCTGTTATGTCACAGTTTCATAGTTATTTAAGCAGTGTGAACACATGGTTAGGTAGATCAAGACATGGAATTGTCAGGAATTGTCAGCTGATGACAATTCCAGAGTCTAATAAATTCCCTGAATCTTCAAACCTTGTACTTCCACTCAGCAACCATGGCCTTCTCTAAGCAACTGGCTGAAAATAAAGCTCATGTATGCTTACAAAACAGTGGAAGGCAATAAAAAGATATCAAAGTGCTTCCAGCATGCAGTGTCCACTGTCTGAAATATGATTAAGAAATGAGAATTAAGGGAAACTGTGAAAGTCAAGACCAGATCTGGAAGACTACGAAAACTCTCATACAGAACTGCTCATACGCTGCACAGAAAGGCAAAGTAAAACCACCATATGACAGCAAAGGACTTGAAGGAAGGTTCAGCTGGCACAGGAGTGATGCTGCAATGATCTACTGTGCAACACTGCTTACATAAACACGATGTGCATGGAAGAGTCATCAAGAGGTAACCTCACCTGTGAACACATCACAGAAGTCAATATTTAAAGTATGCAAAACACACTTTAAAAAAGCTATTTTGGAAACAAGTGAGAAGCTCTCACAGTTCCTAGACTTGAACATCACTAAAAATCTGTGGGTAGATCTGTGGGTAGATGAACATCACAGAACATGAAGAGTTCTGCAAGGAAGAGTGGGAGAAAAAAAAAACTATAACTAGGACAGAAAAGTCCACTCCCATTTCTTCTTCTTACCCCTACCCCTTGTTTTCGAGCGTCACCCTAACCCCTTGGAACTGAGTTACAAAGGGAAGTGGTTGAAATTTTGCCCTACAAAATGAGACCCTCAAATAATAAAAAAAACAAAAACATCACTTCATTAACAGCTACCAGCGCTGCTCTGTAGGCGACCCTGCCAGTCTGCAGTGACAGCAGAGGAGGGTAAAGTTCAGCTCCTCACTGCTGGGCTTTAGTTACATTTAGGGCATCATATGATCTTCAAAGAGGGGGCAATTTTTTATTATCACCCTGTTAGGGGTAATTCTTCAGTGATATGAAGCTGAAGTCAGATATTCACCAGCTTATTGTTCGCATTTTCCTGTTCCACCTTAAATGGTGCAGCAGTTACATTCTGGCACTTCAGGCGTCAGAACTCCTGGACTATTTAAGGTGGAACGGGAAAGTTAGCTAGCTAGCTACTGAGACATTAGCATGCTATTAGCAATTTTTATGAAGAAAAGGACCGTAATACATTAAAACGACAGAAAGGTAATACAGTGGTTATCGTAATTTTTTAACGGAGAAAATTCTCACATTTGTGTGTTTCTTTGGTCTCTTGTTCTCCATCTCACCAGTTTTTCTTTGTTTCTCATAACTCTCTGTTTGTAGTCTCTGAAAAACCTCTGTTTGGAGGGTCATGTAGCCCCAACACTTCGCCCTACCCCTCTACCTCAACAAGAATTGGGACACCCTACCCCTAGATGCGAACGTGCAAAACAGAGGACTAAGGGCTCAGTGGTAGGGACGAGGGGTGAAATGGGATTGAATGGCTACAAAAAGTGTTTGCAAGCCATTACATGCTGAAACGGGTGTTACTAATGACTGACTTAGTAGAGTGTCCAAACTTCTGCACATGCCTTAATGGGTGTGTTAGCATAGGAAAACATTAAGCTATGCAGGAAAACTGCTGCTCCACATAATAGAATACAAATATAGTAGATAAGCTCTGTCTATTCTCCATGTTGGCACTAAACTTGTTCCAGCAAAGAAGCTTCTATGGGTTGACAGTGTGACGCTGTACACAGGACCGGTATTCAAGCAAGGAAATGATAAGAACTTACAGTAAATGGAGAGAGCTGCACCACTATATACACCTCTCATTAGCTGTCAGCCTCACTGTTCATCTTGCACATTCAACAATTAGGCCTTATGCACTGACGTTATTCAAAGGCAGGCCGAATCAACAGCCCTATTCAACAGCGGACCGAATCAAGGACAAATGGGAAAAGAGGAGGCAGAATGAATGAACAGGGTGAGACAGAAAAAAAGGGGGAACAGGCTTCGCACTCTTACTTCTTAGATTAAAAAATGAATCTTCAAAAAAGTGACTCAGCTTCAACCCAGCCAGGAATAAACCTTGTCCTAATGTATGATTTTAGACGTCTTGATTCCTGATCAAAGCTCGCACTGCAGCAGTGGATGCATGTTCCAACTCCTCTGCGATTGTAGACTCTCACGTTCGCTCTCGTTGATACAACTCGAGGATTCCTGTTACAGTGGAGGCTCTCGTTGGGAGCTGGAGCTTTACACTTTGCCGTTTGTAAGTTTGCTACTTGATTTATCCATAGGTCTGCTATGAGTCCATCCTAAATTACTAAATTACTAATCAGTGGCGTGTTTTGGTCACAAATCATACTTGAGAGTCTATTTTCAGAGTGTATTTCTGTAATAAATTCACCATGGCAGTGACTGGAAATAATGTTTATCCCCATGTGGATGTGGACCCCCAGATGTATTGGGACACTCCTTCTAATTACTAAGTTCAGGTGTTTCAGCCACACCCATTGCTGACAGGTGGATAAAATTGAGCACATAGCCTTGCAGTCTCGATAGACAAACATTGGCAGTAGAATGGGTTGCACTGAAGAGCTCAGTGACTTTAAATGCGGCACTGTCATTGGATGCCACCTCTGCCACAGGTCAGTCTGTGAAATGTCTGTCCTGCTAGATCTGCCCCTGACAACTGTAAGCGCTATTACTGTTAAATGGAAGCATCTAGGAGCAACAACAGCTCAGCCACAAAGCGGTAGACTGCACACACTCACAGAGTGGGGCTGCGGAGTGCTGAGGCGCACAGTGTCTATCCTCTGTTGAATCGCTTACTAAAGAGTTCCAAATTGCCTCTGGAAGCAACATCAGCAAAAGAACTGCCTGTTAGGAGGTTCACGAAATAGGTTTCCATAGCCGAGCAGCTACACACAAGCCTAAGATTAAAATGTGTCAGTCTGATGGACTACTAGATAAATAGATAGATAGATAGATAGATAGATAGATAGATAGATAGATACGTGTAACACTGTGTATCAAGTCTATTCAAGTTATAGTGACACACAGTGTTTTATGTTACCAGAGACATCAAGAGTTTTTGTTATTATGTCCCTTTTTTAAGAGTCCAATTTAATAATCAAGGCTAATCGAAGCTATCAGGTAAAAATCAGCCCTAAAAAATATATATTTTAGTATTATTAAAACTTTTTATTTTTATTATTTTGCATAAAAGGTTTAAACCAATGAATTAAATAACTTGTATATTAAAATATCAACACTCACGGTTACTGGAGACCAGGGTTGAAGCCCCACTCCAGATGGGACCTTTTCATAGCATTTAAACACAGTAGCAAAATCTGCAAACACTGGCAGAATGATAGTGAAAATGGGTAGTGAAGAGACTGAAAATATAAACCTGGTTTTTGACACTTAATATTTTGCTTGGGGATTTAATTTTTTTTATTTGAAACATTTGGCACAAAATTAACTCAGTTTGATGAGCAGCGACAGGACTGAGAAGCAGAACTAAGGAATGGGAAGGAGATGGGCAGGAGGTGGATGCAAAAACTACGCCACAGGTAACAGAAGGCAGAGATGGAAACGTTACAAAGGGGGGGAAGAAGCTTCAGGCAATGTAAAGTTTGAACAACCCTGGTCAAATGACGTTTCGTTGACATTTTAAGTGAAAATAAGTAAACATCCTGTATGGAGATCAAACTTATATGTGGCATTTTCCACACTTTAGTGCACAACATATTTGAAAAAAATAAAACCTACAATATAAAATGTGCTATTACTTTTGCACAGGCCACATTTTACGTTTTATTACCCAACATGTTAAATTCAGCAAATAGTAATAATGCATTAAAATGCACAGAGGTGTGTATTCTGTCACTGCAATCTGATCAGATGTGCCCAAATCTTTGCATACAACTGTAAATAACTTTAGTCATTTTATAACTCCATTATGTTGCGTCAGTAACTAAGGCTACCTACAAAGTAGAGCTTCAGGTCATGACTATAAGAAACTGGTTCGGAAGACTGGTCAAGCTGCAAGACTGCTGACCAAAACTTGTGTCATGTCAATCATAGATAGTTTGAGCAGTTCATCAGGCATCTCTACCCTTCATGCTGCATGTCCAACAATAGCAGATGGTTCTTAAATTTAAGGTTTCAATTCTGAAGATTAAATAAAGGTGGTTTTAACAAAGGATCATCAAACTGTTCAGTGCATACAGTGGATTATTGTCAAGCAATGCTTCATTTCTTTTTCCCCAAACTCATCAACTCACCAATTTCTTTTCCCAGTGATGACTTGAGAATGGCACCAGCTGAGCAGACCGCAGCACAGGTCTTGTATGGGGTGCCATGGAGTTTCAATAGGGGCTGGGAAGGCACCAGCTGCTTCCAGCCCAAGCTGGCAAAGGGCTCCTCAGCCCCATCCAGTGTCCTGACCTGGACCTGCTGCTTCAGCTGACACAGTAGCTCCTTCTTTTCTAGCTGTTTGCTTTGCTGCTGCACATAAGTCACACTGTATTTATTAGTATTAGTATTTGCCTTTTTGGCTTTCTGCAGGCGTACACTCAGCATTTTGCTTGAAACTAGGCCCATCCACAGACCATAGACCACCTTCCTGCCATTGGAGAAATATTCCTCCCCGTCTTCTGATTCCTTTACCCTCTTCTTCGGGGTCAGCTTGTGTCTTTTACCTCCAACATCTCTGCTGCGTCCTTTCCCCTCCACCGGCCGCCCAGAGCTGGCTTGAGTGGAGTTGGTGTGCTGGGAGCTGATGCTATGAGTCCCTTGGGAGACTGTACTGGCTTTGAAGCTATGCTGGGCAGGAACTGACCATATGAAGTAGCTGGCACTTTTCAAAGGAGAGTCTAAAGAGGTTTGGGAGAAAACAATAAACAAGACCAGAATCCAGACCAGCAAACTCAGCAAGAGCAGCTTTCTGTTACAACATAGTTTCATGCTGCAGGGGCTGGATCACCAGACTTCAGTCAGTCCTAGGCAGAAAAATTGAGAGGAAATGTTTGGTTATGGCCATAACACACTGACTTAACTCTCAGAATAACAGACATGACTCTACCTGGCAGGTGCGCTACTTTAAGACAGATGATCCAAAGTCCTACTCAAACCAGGATGGAATGTAATTCAGTTCCACTCAGAAGAATAAGATAAACATCCAGGCCAGCAGACCTACTGAGATCCGCTTCCCCTGACCCCACAGCTTCAAGCGACAGGGCCTAGATCACCAGACTTCAGTCTGAAACGGAAAGAAAACCATTGGTTATATACACCTGGTCACTTCATGTGATAAGTATCTGGACTGTTTCCTGATAAGATTGTAGCCGCTTGCATTTACACTTGGTCGTCAAATGCGTCTCCGGTTAGTCGGACAGAAATCTGATTGCTGTGTGAGACAGAATACGGAAATCTGCTTGTTACACAGCAGCCAATTACCAATTGTGTATTAAGTCGTCCATTATGCTTTTACGCATTTCCTTTCGTCTGGTCCACAACCATGTGCATCCTCCATGATTATCTTCCTCGCAAACACGGATCACTGCCCAGTGACATACTGCAGCAGTTTCAGTCATACTAGCAGGAGTTTCAGTTGTACACTCTCAGAAATAAAGGTATTAAACTGTCCCTGGGTCAGTACCCCTCCTGGCACTGGGGTGGGACCCTCACGGGTCCATCTCAGTACCTTTAGGCAGGGAACATAACTGAACCATAATCCACTGAAACGATATTCTCTAAGCTGTACTGACTCCACACACCCCGTCTCGACTCCAGGCTTTTATTTTACTGTTCTGTTTCAAAACATTCGGTTATGAAAAGATACAAATACAAACTTTTCACCTGGAAAAACTTATTCCAGGTACATAACTGGACCTTAAAACCACTGTTGTACCTTTGAGGGAACATTTACACTGTTTGTACCTTGAAGAATGAAAAACGTATCTGCACAGAACCTTTATTTCTGGGAGGGGTTTTGGTTGTCGAATGTGTCTTGGAGAGATGGTTGTGTTTACACTGCTGTAACAGTGACACAGGATGTGGCTAACTTTCCTGTGTGAGAATTTAAAACCCAGTGTCACCTACTATGAATTTGTGCTCTGTTGCTGGGTTTTATAAAGCACTGTAATAGAGAGACACTTAGTGGCACCACTGCCACTGGTCACTGTCTCCTGATGTGTCCAGTTTATAGCAGCCTGTAGCCTTAAGATTCCTATTTGACTAAAATGCCCACCCCTAAGTAATACTAATAACAATAACTAATAATTATTATTATTACTACTGCATCTACGACTACTACAAATCATGATCATAATAATAGCACACCAGGTCTATTCAATAATATTCAGTGTGAGGCTTTAAGTTTATCAATGAAAATGTAGTGACATCACTCAGCAACTGAGGTCCAGAAGGCCCACGCTCATTCATGAGAAAACAGGACATAAACAGTGAATCAATTCAGGAAAGTGATTGAAATTTGAAAAGAAAGAAATTTGTTTGGCCAAAAATATTTCAGATGTTCGATATGTTCTATGTAACATGGTCCATGTGCAGAAAAGAGGTTTAGTATAACAGGTGAAGGTTGACATTGGGCTATTTTAGCAACACAGCGTGAGAACAACACAGTATGGAAAGTTACAGGCTTAGAAACCTTATTCATGTTTATCTGCAGCCTGATGATGCTATTATAGTCCCTACATAGTAAACAGAGCTATCCGGTCAGGTTTTCTTCAGCACTTTGGGTGAGGGGCCAGTTCAGAATCAGAATCAGAATCAGAATCAAGCTTTATTGGCCAGGTTTGCTTACACATACACGGAATTTGGTTTTGGTTACAGGAGCTCACAGTGCACAGTAAAAGACAAGCATTTACATGCAGTGAAAAAAAAGTAAATAAATAAATAAAGTAAAATAAAATAACATAAAATAAATAAATAGAATAAAATAAAATATGCATTTCTACCATCACATTACACACACACACACACACACACACACAGTCATACCTGTAACCTTTACATTGTGCAAAGTATGTGTCTTAAGTTAAAGTGCTGAGTGCAGCAGCAGTTAAAGGGTGTACAGAGGCAAAGAAAGGGATCGGTGAGGCAGCAGTCAGATAAGTGGGCTAATAAGGCAGATAAGTTAGGGGCTAAAATAAACGCTGGTCTGAGACGGTAGTTTCCGAGGATGGAGCTGTGTGGGACACTATATACCAGTATATTTAGAGGTTCAGGCCAGTTTTGGACAGAATTTTGTTAGGTCAGTTTTGGGCTTAAAATATCATGATGTGGTTCGGGGTGCACTGGTTGCAGACTGGATTTTGTCAGGTCTGGACTGGGGTCAGGCTCAAAATAGCCACAGGTCGTGTTTGGGCAGAAAACTCTTGGGCTGTATTCAGGCTCGGACCAAACCTTCAAGACTGTGGGCCTCGATTGCTGAGTAAGCAACAGTCACTCACTCACAAAAGCCTCACTCTAAACACACACACACACACACACACACACACACACACACACACATTATCTAAACCGCTTATCCTTCTGGGTCGTGAGGGAGTGCTGGAACCTATCCCAGCTGTCATTGTGTGGAAGGCAGGATACACCCTCGACAGGTCACCAGTCCATCGCAGGGCAGACAGACAGACAGACATATACATCCACACACACATTCACACCTAGCCAAGGATCAAAAGGCTAAGTAATTAATATTTTTACAGCTTATTGTGCTCATGATTACCAGGGATGGCAATATTTATGGAGATCACTATATATATATATATATATATATATATATATATATGGTCCTACAAAGTTTGGTTCCAATCCTAACCTAATGCCTTCAGAACCATTTGAATATTAGAGCCAGATGTGTTGGATCTAAACTCACTGATAGGATAGCAGGACCAGGATTGGGCAGCCTTGTTTTACTTTAATAAAACATTCAACTGGTCAATGACTTTTATTAAAAAAGGCTGAAAGCTTTTCCTGCATTACAGGCACCCTTGTAAATATACACCCATTTGCAAATATGAAAATAATCTAATCTTTCAGTAAGTCTACATAATTCTTACAAATATATTGTAACTGACATACATTCTAATTCATTCGTTATCTTTTTCAACCATACTCATATCTTTACAAACTCTAGTTTTCACCCATAACTTCTTGCTTCACTGCAGTACTAATATGCAGTGTCATATAGGCCAAACACCCTTAGTCATCCATCAGCACGGTGAAGATCACAGAATACTAAAATGAAATTAGACTAAAGGTTATTAGTCTTTATAAATAAAGCAACATATATTAAAAAAACATCCATCTCCACTATTAAGAAGCTTCAACAGGTCAGTGCAATGTACTGGCCGGACAGATGAGCAAATTATACATAAATATACCCAGTTTATGTTGTAGTGCATGTTGTAAGAACTCGCAGGGAAACGGTGCTTGCAGCACAAATACCAGTCAAGTGAAGTGAAATGTAGACATGCAGATGTTTGACACTAAAGCCACGAGATTGCACAATTTGTAACAGCAAACTGTTTTTCAAACTCTTCCATTCACTGTTGCAGCACCAGTTACGATTGGCAAAGTAACTGGTTTGAAGTCCTGTGGTAAAATCGTCCTTCTCATTTTCAAGTAGAGAGTCATGTGTCCTTTAAATAAACAACAACATAACAAAAAGCAACCATAAACACATCAATAGAGGGTTAATGAACCAAAAGTAGCTGATTACCATTTCTTAGAAACCAAGTAAACTGCATATTAGTGATACGCCGATAACAAAGGGCTGTGGACCCGCAGCACTCAGCCTTCATGCCACACAAAGCTGTGGAGCAAGTTTAACCGACTCAAGTTGGCAAACTTCCTATCTTAACATCTACCTGACTCCAAAGCTTCCTGTCTTTCTGTCTGAAGGCTTTCAGGGTTATCTGAGTTACTGAATCATCTAGTATTAGCGAGCCAAGGTGAAGGGACTTTGGGTATAATCTTAAAGACGTCTGACCACAGATCTACTCAGCATTCCTACATTCAAATTAGGGGCAGCATTTACATTTCCGTGTTGTCATGAAACTCACCTGTGATACTGTGTAACTCAGGCCACTGGACAGTAAAAGGCAAGTTTACACTGTGTGATAATCGTCACAAATCTTGAAAGAATTATTTGTTTATGAGAAAAATAGGTGCCTCTGTGACCAAACACTGTGATAATCTTCTGGCAGTGTCCGAAATTTTGGTCATAAAACTCGCAGTGGCCAATAAGGAAAGGCATGAAATGATGTAAGGGCGGCACGGTGGCGCAGTAGGTAGCGCTGTCGCCTCACAGCAAGAAGGGCCTGGGTTCGATTCTTGACCGGGGTCCTTTCTGTGTGGAGTTTGCCTGTTCTCCCCGTGTCTGCGTGGGTTTCCTCCCACAGTCCAAAGACATGCAGTCAGGCCAATTGGACATGCTGAATTGCCCCTAAGTGTGAATGTGTGTGATTGTATATGTCTGTCTGTCTGCCCTGCGATGGACTGGCGACCTGTCCAGGGTGTATCCTGCCTTCCGCCCAATGACAGCTGGGATAGGCTCCAGCACCCTACCGCGACCCAGAAGGATAAGCGGTTTAGATGATGTATGGATGAAATGATGTGTGTGTGTGTGTACGAGGTAGAGAAAACAGGAGAGGCACGACACATTAAGGTAAAAACGTCACTGTTCACAGGTTTTAAAATATTATCTTAGGGTATTAGTCTAGCCCAGCCCTCAGTTCACATATTAGCTGTGTTCCAAAGCCTAGGCTGCATTTCTCAGTTCCAAAGTGAAGCACGCTTCGTATACAGACTAGCAATGCAGTCTATGTTCTGAGTGATTTCAAGGACGCGTCAGATGTTTCCTTCCAGGAAAGTGAGAAATCACTGATTAATTAAAGCATCGTCCATCTATCATATTTATTCAGAGGTATTTGTGTATGTGTATTTTATCGTACTACATAAGATCATCTCCTCCATTTCCGTGAAGCAATGAAAAAGCAACAAACCATTTTCCCTCACGAGTTTGGTGCCACTCTGGTGACGTCCCCACGCAGCCTCGTTAGGACTGTTCCATTTGGGTGACCAACAGGCTACTAAGGAGGAGTCTCGACTGGACAGTCCTACTGAGGACCCACACTACCTCAGCTGCACCCTAGGCTTTGGAACACAGCTATTGAGTGACTGCAGCAAAATAGCAGAGATAGCTACCACATAACAGACCGGCCAAATTTTGTA